GAGACGGCTTAACAACTTTTAGCTATTAAAGATAAAATAATAAATTTGGGTAAGTCAGTAATATACATAAAAAAAAATCTTTTGTCGGAAACACTTTCATTGTTTTCCCCCAGTAAAGACCTATAATTTAACGTTAAGTTTGCTTGCTCTATGCTGATCCAAAAAATTTGTTTCTGCCTTCTTGCCTCCCTTCTTCTAGGATTAAAAAATGTATGATTTACATCTTTATTTTAATAATTGACAAGCCAAGTTAGTTAGAATTGTATCTATGAGAACTGGGAAAGGAAGGACGCTAAGAGTTTAAAACTTTGTTAACACACTGTATTCTGTTTTAGAATCCAAGAAGAGGAGACTCTGTTTGTACGCAGAAAGCCCATGTCGCGGCTAAGACAGCAGCAGAGTGGGGAAGTGCCACTGGTGATGACGCAGGGCCGCCGCGTACGCAACTCTCTCCAGCGACTTGAGCAACAACAAGACGAGATGTTCGAGTTGTAGCAGAGGTTGATTGAATGTTGTCAAAGTGAGATTAGTTTAGGATAAAACAAGTAATACTTAAACAATGTATAACATGTAATATTTGTTTATAACTGTGTATAAATTGAACAGACGGGCTTAATATATGACTACATACTTGTTTTATCATTTACAAATATTTGTTTGTAAATAAATTTAGAATTTGTTTTCGGAAAATCTGTTTTGTATAGCTTTAGATGTTTAAAGTGATAGTTTTATTTTTATTTCTTAAATAATGGTGCACTTATACTACATTTGTTAATGTTTTAATGATTAAATGCCTTTTTGACATATCTGAGCTTCATCAACGTTACATGTATTTTTGAGCAACATCTTTTTGTACTGTCAAGTACAAAAATTAGTTAAACACATTGTTAGGGAATTACGGTATAATTTTGAATAGTTAATAATTACTAAATGTAAACTGGTGGTATCCAGTATATTCTATTTTGTGTCTTATTCTTTAAAAAAAAAATGAAAAGGTTAAGTATTAATCCTAATTTTGATTGATATTTAGAGGAAATTCGTAATTGTTTCAAGTAATGTTAATTTTCTAGTTTTATCTTTGAACAGATATTTTTGTAAAACCAAATAATAGAAGTATATATCAGTGGTAATAGTAAAAGCTATTTATCAAATTAACACCTCATTTGTTTTTTAACACCTGCACCTTTTATAAATAAGTAAAAATCTCTATGATACAAATGTGACAACATTCTCTTCTAATCTCAAACTTATTTTCTCTTGACAAATTGTTTATCAGTTTGTTTGTTTGTTTTAAATGTTGAAAGGTTAAGAGAACACAGTTTGATCTGTAAATATTTTGTTGAACCTCAAAATATGTTATATTGTCATTGGATGTTGAAAGGTAAGATTATCTGGATATAAAACATTGGATACACGCATAGTATTAACCCTTGAACGGCCATATAGAGTGTTTCTAAAGGGCCAGACAGTTTTTTACTTTCTTGCGGCATTTTAATCTCACAGTTGTATAACGACTATTTATTGACCAAAACATATAATATTACACCATCGGATTTGGGACATTCTATAGAATCTAAATATATCAAGGAAATACAACATTTAGTTCATAAAAATTTATTTCTGTAACAAAAAACAAATCAATCTAAATTTCTAAATACTAAATTCCAAAAGAATGTCCCCACAACAAATTAAATGTATTCCTTTAAAAAAATTTGAGAAGTATTTTAATAAGGTTTGATTTTGAGATCGAAATCGACAGTTACTTTCAAGGCTTACGCTAATTCATCTAACTGCGATAAATTGAGTGAAATTATACGTATTTTGATCATTTAGCATTGTTTAAAGATTAATAAGTGTAAAAACAATAATGATATGAACTGCGTTAGTTACCAAATATGGTTGATCATTCAATGAATAAAATATTTCCCATACTGTACGTCATTAGAGTTGTTAGTATGCTATCTGGTATCTCTTCCTTTGGAAGAACCTTTCAATAGTATTAAACTTGTATTAGTGGATCTTTTGTAGTTTAACACTTCCGTGATTTCATCAATGTAATGCAGATTAATCTATGATTTTATTTGAAAAAAAAAAATCTGTTGGGAAGACTCGTTCTAACTTCAAAGGGAGGTATATCCGTTACAGTGTAAGTTTGATTTTTCCTTTGTCACGTCGTGTCAGTTCATATCGTACTTTTGTGCCAATGAATAACCCTCTATCATAGTTTTGAGAAATTGGTTGTGGGGTTACTGTTAAAGCTGGAATTCCTTGACATGGGGGATGTCAGTTAGTTGTCTCAGCCTTATCAGTTACATAAAGTTTTCAATATAATCTCTCTACAGAATGTTAGGTGTAGTGGAATATAGGCTACTTGAAGTGAAGTTGGCTTTTATTCTTGAACTGTTAGGGGCCTCCTCATTTATATGGTCGTGCAGCTTCATTGGCAACAAATGCTAATGACATAGTAATGTGGCATTTCCAAAAAGCAAAAAATAATGTAAATTGGCTGTTACGTAAATATTGACGTTTACATGCATTGTTAATCATCGTATCTTATAAAGGATGATGTGATCTAGTTTAAAAGGAATATGACCTTTCTGTCATGACAGTAGCTGCTTGAATATTATTTACGCATTGGGCCATTTTTACAGCCAAAATGTCGTGATATTTTTAATAATTTTATCAACGTAGTGGGCTACGGTCCGTAATATATAGGCCACTGCAAATAGTTTTTCAAGATAGGTACTATTTTAGGCAAGGTTTTTGTGTTTGGACGTTATGGGAAATGATAAGAGCACAATAAAATTCTTCTTCAGATGAATTTTCTGTTGGAGAAATATAAGCCGAATTATAAATGTCACAATGCGAGTCTGAGCATTTTTTAACTCTAGTTTAATGCTCAGACTAAATTCTGATGTCTCGGCAAAAGAGCACTTTAAACAGCTAAACATACTAACTGTTTATGTGCAATATATTTATGATTCAATTTTAATTTATAAAAATATAACCTCATCCGATGTATCCAATCTACCGGTTCACCGATATGAAACGAGAAAAAAAATCAGATTTTCCAAAATAGGCACAGATTAAAGTTTTATGAAAAAAGCCATCATTTGCTGGTAAAAGTTTTTTTTTACATATCCCCGGAGGAATTAGAAATGAAAAAGATCCAAAAAAGTTTAAAACAAAACTAAAAAATTTCTTAATAAACATGGCAACTTATTCTCAAGAAGAATTTTTCCACCTCCCTCAAGAATACTAGATATTAAGAACGCATCTGTATGGGGAGATGTATTTTTTAAATTTAAGATTTATTTTTAATCTGTATTTTATATTTTAATAATTGTAATCTTTGACACTATTCAAATGCTGTATTATGTATACTTCTCAATGAATAAAGAAATTGAAAATTGAAAAAAATTGACAATTGAAATATATGGGTAAGTTACATAGATTTTTTAGGCTGCTGCTCAGTGCACTTTAAGAATGTATATTTTAGAGATAAATTAAATGGTTTTTGTTGCTGAGTAGCGCTAGTAAACATGCACAACCCTTTTCGTTAGTATAATAACATTCAAAGGCTCTCTAAGAGTACAAGTTCTTATTTGTATGCATATCTATATTATGTTTTCACTAAGCTGAATGAATACATCGAAGTAACCTCTCTGAAAAGTCTGCAGTATATTGCAGTTTTCCAGCTTAATGACTTTCTAAATCATGCACATATTTCTACATAAATATTGTAAAATGTTTTATCCAGTTGCTGTAAACCACTATTAATTTAACAAAATATAGACACGGCTCAAATGGGCACCGTGGCACTTGTATTATTTTGTATTTTACATCCAATATAGCTTACATAACATAGACTTAGGCTCAAACACAATGAAAAAACAATCATTTTACACTGTATACACTTACACAAGCATTCAACAAAGACAGCAACATAACCAATGCTGTAACTAGTGTTTGGCCATAACAAACTGCCAAATCGCTGACCTGTTAACACATATTTAACCATGACGGAGCTGGCTTCTATTAAAAATTAAAATTATTTTATTCTTACGACCACTGTGACTTGAGGAGTGTTGTGACCTTCACTGCTTCATTAATGATCTTACGCTGGTACTCACTTTAGAATCAGCCATAGTAAATATAACCATTGACTATACACAGAACTCTGCCATGATTTTTATTCTAGATTTTATTTCTTGAATTCAGCAGACTCCATGACTTTATTACATTAATTTGCCTGAGCCCCATGGACCCATGATGAATTTTGATTAAATATGAAATGAAATGAAATTGGTTGTGGGAACGCTGACCATTGTCACAGACAAATACGATTTGCTAACCAATATGGGTTCTTAAGAAAAATCACTTTCCCGCCCCACTACACCACTTATTATAATTAGTCCATATCCATTAGGTCTTTTTGCAGTTAAATCTGAAAAAGAGCTACTTTAGTTAATTTATTATTAAATATCATCATCATACTTGCCACATGTGACCTGGTCTATAAGTGTTAGATAGTAGTAACATCTTGAGAGCTCTTAGATTAGTTTAAAAAAAAATAGTTTCCTCGTTAATCCCACGTAATAGTAATAACCCTCCAAATAATTGTGCATCCAGACATTCACAGCTGTTTGTTCCCTTGTTTACAATCTGACTTTTAACCATTCAACTGAAGGAACAGCTGTTAAATTACAATCCACATTTATTTAAACTTAACCGTTAGAAGGAAAGTTGATCAGCAAAACTGGTTCTTTGAAAATGCATGCTAGAAATAAATTAAACACAAGGAGGCAAAGCCCTAAAGGAATTTACCTATTTAATTGCCATTCACAGGTGTGCTAGATTATAAGCTTTAAAATGACATTCAATCATAAAAATTGGTTAAATAGGACAGCCGGAAAATGGATGTAACAGGAAAAACCTTCATTAATTGTATTATGTATTAGAATAAACAATTTAAAAGGCAGAGGGATAATTATTGAGTCTGTAAGGTAATGTTCGCTTTTATATTAAAAAAGTTACAAACATAACAAGGACGAGGTTGGTTAGTGTGTCGGTGCTCGGGCTTTGAGCAGTTTAGAGATCCGCTCATCGTTGCGCAGGATGTTTCCCTTCACTACACTCATTTCCTCCTGCTGCTCCTCCACCAGCTGCTGCATGTCCTCCAACCTACGAGTGAGCGGCTCAATACACTCCTCTGTCATTCTGAGGAACACCAACACAATCAGTGGCAGCACTGGCTGCTTAGTACTCACTCAGACATAAAAACAAGCATTAAATAATTATGTATGGCTTACTAATATATTATTGCTATGCACACTGTACATGTGCCTAGCAGGACTATTTTTTCCAAGTAATACCTAACGGTACGTCCAGAGTGCACGCCGATTCAGATACAGATTCAGATTTTCGGCGCTTGGTTAATCTGAGTCAGATATTTTGTTGGTGGCTACAGTGGAAGCAGGAAATACGCCGCCGGTGCTGACTCGGTTAGCAAAGAAACAAGTCAGTCATTGTTATGGAATTGTCGGATGAGGAATTAATGTGTAAAATTATAGCGTCTGAAACTGTTGTGAAGTTACAACCAGTGAAAAATGGTGTTCATGATTATATTATTTATCTCTTTTCTTATAGCTAGAAATGATATAGCTTCTTTCTATATTGCGTTGAGTGGGAACCACTGAAACCTGTTATTAAAATTGGACATCGCATTGTAAGGAACTGGTGTAACCTACATACCAAAAACAAAAAAAATCCTGAAGTAACCCTAAAAGTAAGAATAAAAAAAAAAATTACTATAAAAACATAATTTTATTAACTAAATAGTATGCGTACGTGCAAAATCTGAAACCAGATTGAAGGATTCATTTCAGTAAGCAGGTGCCTGCGCGTGGGCTCGGTAACCGGCAGCCACTTCGGCCACTTCCATTTGAATGCAAGTGCCATTCCTGCCGCCGAAGATCTGAATCTGAATTGACCTGCACTCTGGACGTACCGTTGATACGGAGATCTGGTTTCATCTTTCCAGGTTCACAACTGGATCAGTTGCACTCACACTATCAACTGTACTTTGCATCTGTTTAGGTTTAATATATTGGCTACTAGCTGTAACCCGCGGGCTTTGCCCCGTTTAACTTCTTAATTTTCAAGATTATCTCGTTCGCATGGCTCAATCACGTCCTGGTTGAAGTTTGTTCGCTACGCTCACTCACCTTTAGGTTGGAGCTCGTTCGCTGCGCTCACTTGCCTTCAGGTTAGCTCGTTCGCTACGCTAACTCGCCTCCAGGTTGAAGTTAGCTGTTGTCATAAATGTAAAAGAAATAATAGTGCTGCACCCTGTTGGTAATCCTTGTAACTTAAATGCTATTGAACATCATAGAACAGAACCAACTCGTTTAATTGAAACAGCTGTTAAGATTCAATAATTCCATTTCTCATAAGGTTAACATGGGAAACTCCAGAGCCACTGGGGCGGAGCCCGAAAGGATTTTTGAAATAAGAATATGCCTATATGTTAATCGGGAATGTGAGCTATCATCATGCCAAATTTCAGCCCAATCCGACCAGTATTTTTCGCGTTCACTTGTCACAAACATACATCCAAACATACATCCAAACTTTCTCATTTATAATATTAGTAGGATTCCTGAGCATCTGTAATAATATTGTCTTGTTAACAAAAAAGCCATTGCCGACGCTTGGAAAAATTCTCACAAAACTGTCTCAGTCTCTTCCATTGCAGTGATAGACGTGGTGGCCTTCCATCAATCCGCTATCACCAAACTAGTGGTGTAAGTCATAAACTTTCCAGTGTGGCAACGCTCGGTCACTACCGATTGACAACTGATAAAAAATCAGCCGAGCTTAATTCGACCAGAATGCCTCGCCCGGCCCTATTCAGTGTGGCGTCCAAAGGCTTTTAGATTTTTGGCCTTAAATAGAGTGTGTAACCTAACACTGAATAATGCTTGTTTTACATTTAAGCTACAGGGTATGTTAATTAGGTTTCAAGACCGATTGTATTGAAGCGCTTTCAGACCGGTCACATAGCCCTGTTTGAGGGGGGTCTCGGGTAAGAGACCAAGCCCTCCCGGGTTGCCAGCGAAACGAGTATTAGCATCAGGCAAACTTAGAATGTGAGTCATTCCATGTCAAATCACCCAAAAAATTGAGGTTATGAAACCCACCTTCCTAGAATTTGATCACTTTCTGAAAAAATGTCATTCCTATGTCCTAAGTACAAAATAGAAACAAATTTGAAGATAAAAGCTGATACTTTTTTGTATTAATCTTTTTGTGATCCACCATTTTGTCCTTTTTAAAAAGGAAATTTTTTCTCGGAATTGACAACCGAATGTAGTCTGGGCGACTAAACAATTCAATTATTCATGAACAATTTAAGATAACACTTACAATTTATTCAGGCAAGTTGAACATAAAAAAATCTGTATATAGGTCACTCTTAGAATATAATATAAAAATAATAAACATTTTTATTTTTTTATTTAATTTTTTTGAATTTGACACAACATGGATTGTGAAAAACGGCTATAACTTTTTTCTCCAACCAGCTAGAACAATTATGTTTTTGCAGAATTTTCCTTAAAGCTATGACCTGTTTGAAAATATATAGATATTAGTAGTTTACTGTACAGATATTGGGGAAAATTGTTATTGAAATATTAATTAAAGATAAAGATTTAGTAAAATATATCTTGTATTTAAAAAAAAAATACTACAAGAGTTTGCAGTTTTGAAAGCTTAATTTACCTAAGTCCTGTTGTTCTTTGACAATATTAAATTACGTTTTTGCAGATTACTTGATATTTCCTTAAACAAATTTAAAGCTAAAAGCTTCTGAGCGGTTTAACTTTAAATGATTGTAACAAAATAGGCGAATGTTAGTTTATTATTGGCTGATTTACAATTTGAGCAAATTTCATGGCAAGAGATTACACACATACACAGTTATTTTGATTTGGCAGAATTTCCAAGTCTTTCCTGACTAGTACCAAGGCCCCACTAGAAAAAACAGGCCATGCTGCAGCACGGGCAGCGCAACACTACGTCACAGTGGTGGATAGTTGTACTACTAAACTCTTACCATTAAAATCTTACAAAAAGCCAGCTCAGTTTTGGCCAGTATTGTTTATTTACCTAAACATATGGGAATAGTGATGGCAATGAATTTATCAATGAAATTTATCCACTAGTGTGACGTCAAGGATCCTGCAGCATGGCTTGTTTTTCTAGTGAGGCCTTGCTAGTATACCATTTTTTTCAGGTTTGTTTCAGCCAGCTCTAAATCCTTGGTTGTAAAGTAATAAGCTCTACCTGTAGAACTTGTTTGTGGAGCACCAACTGAACATAAAATGTTATAAAAAGGGATAAAACAGGAATCTTCTCATTGTGGCCAGTAAAATGATTTACTAGGAACATGTGGATGCATGAACACTAGTTCAGCGACTTCATCTTCATCTGAAGTATTCCTCACAAGAGCAAAAAACCAATAGTAATCATACACTGCAGCAACATATGAGTATGGTGTGGGCTTTGAAGATGGCTGCCACAAATTGTCCTCTGTAAATGAAGAAATAAAATATTTGGATCTATGGCCGCTGTTAGCCTTCTAATTTCTAAAGGAATCACTAGAAATCGGTTTATAGTGGTGAAAAATGCTTCCTGGCACAGTTCTTGTTAGTGAAAATCCCTCTAACAGTTTGATCCGCAATTCATCATTTTTAGCTTTTGATATATAGTGAAAGTTTATTTTCTCAATGCTTGATGCACACATTTATTTTTAATTTTTTTTTCCTGTTTTTATTTTTCCCGGCACATCCATCCATAAAATAGTGCACCTTTGTGACTGATGGATAACTGTCTTTCAGCCATTTCATCATTTCTCGTTGGACGGCATTAAAAAAGAGACATCATGATCCAAGTCATCACTAATGAAACAGTGATTTGAAACCTCGCCACTGAAAAGGGTGATTTTTGTTATTAAATTAGGAAAGTCGTGCAACTATTTTTTTTCTAGTAGGGTATAATTTAACAAAAAATATAAAAATTTTGGTTTACTTCTAAATATAAATTATAGGTGGTAAAATAATAAAATAGAGGTTTTCGGTCAATTTGTAAGGGTTTTTAAAAATCGATATTCTGAAGAGAGTTCTTCATGGATTTTGATAAATTTGGTGTTTTTTTTAAAGACAGTTATCTAAACTTAATATTTAGGTAGATTCTTAATAATATCTCAGATTCTTTTTTTGCTGTGACATATTAAATATAATTTTTCTTTAGAAAAAAGAATTAGTTAAAAAAAATATATTTTTTTAGTACCTAATTAACTTAGATACCTAATTCTACCTAAATATTTTCCTAATATTGTCTAGAATAATTAGTAAAAATTTCAACATTGTAACTTTAGTGACTCTCAAGATATATCAAATTTTGTCTTGAAAACCGTGAAATTTCAATGTTGTGGAAAACCGTGTTTGAATAAGAAGGTGTCCTATGATCTTGTATCTATCGTAAAGAGTGAAACCCGTTGGTTATAACATATAATAACATTCAGACATGTATTATATCATACTTTTTGGATGTAATAGAGTCCAATGTACAAAGAAATGAAAAAAAATATTTTTTTTTAATTTTCATGATTTTTACCTATTTTCAGTGGCAAATCCCCTTAAGTTCCCCCTCCCTGCCAAATAAACACATACCGTAAGGGATTAAGTGTACGTACAACCACCTCTTGACCAGTGACAGCTCTGAATTTATTTTGAATTACAAAAGAATAGTTTTCACTTAGTCCATCAGTAATGCATCGTTAGGAGAAAGGGATTCTTTTTTTTTAAGATGTTTTAAAGACTTAGCTTGGGATATTGCGATGAAAGAGTGGGGAATTAGTTTCTGAAGCTTGTCAACAAGCAATTTCATTAATTCTTATTCGCTTGTTGTTTGCCTGACTAATTCTTGTCAGTCGGTGCTCATCCACTAAGTAAACTTAATTTATTTCATCATTATCATCCTATAGTTTGTTTAAACAAAATTCTATTATTGCATCATTTGATGAGCATTCATCACAATGTCTAAGCAGGCAGTCTGAATTTTCAGGATCACAAAACATTAACTTTTTTAAGTCGTATTTCTTCAATCTTGATAGCATCAAGAAGTAGTTTAACATTTTGATGAATACTACAAACACAAACCGAATGAGTGCCCGAAGCACCAGCAGAAATACACCACTTTGGTCGCAATGTACAAAATTAGGAAAATCCTATTTTGTCCAAATGGGTTGTCCCATTTGTAGCAGGAGAATAGTTCATATATTATTGAGATTACATAATAGTAACATTCTTTGCATGTAAACATTTTGACTTATACTATATTTATCTTTTGCTCCTGGTAACATTCTACTATCTAACTGATAAAATTCTTTGACACGACTACAACCAATTCAATCCAGTTAGCTATTTGCTAACTTAATACCATTGTGGATTATTAGTCCCAGAGCAGGCTTTTCAATGATTCTCTTGTTTTCTGGTAGCTTTCCAAGGCCAAATCCATGTTGGGGACCAACTCCTCTATTTTGGGGACCATCTCCACCACCAAAAACATCATCACAGGACCGGTTCTAAAAATTTTTCAAAGTTAAGCGAACACCCGAATCAGCGCCACGTAAAATTCCCCCCCCCCCCCCACCTGCCATGAACAGAACTTAACCCTATTTGTGAAATTTTTTCCCAAAAATTTTGGGAAGAACTTTTTTATAAGTTTAAGTTCGAAGAATACTTGCAATAAAAGACTTTTTTCAACTACTGTTTATTAATCACACAAATTTTACATTTTTACTCTTTTACTCATCATATAGGCTACACTTTAACAAAACCCAAAGTTAATAATTTATCTATATTCTATATAACCTAAATAAAATTAGAGTTTTGTCTGTACATTTCTCAGAATCATATATTTTAGGTTATTTTTACGTTTTACAGTAGAACCTCTTTAATCCGAACCCCTGTAATCCGAACGTCCACTAATCCGAACGCCTCATTGCTGTAGTCTATACACAGAACAGTAGTTTTTTATTAGATACTGTATTTATAGATATACACACCGTAATTATTTCAATTGTTATGTACAGTACTGTTTATTCCCTATGTTTACTACTGTATTAAATAAACACTGTATTTTACTTTATAAAGCATTTTTCACTTTTCCCTAGCTATTGTTATGTAAAAACAACAATATGTTCTGTAATCCGAAATATTCAATAGTCCGAACTACCCCCGGTCCCAATTAGTTCGGATTAAAGAGGTTCTACTGTATACATTAAATAAGCAGAAACGAGTCTTATCCCTATTTCTGTTTGTCTGTCTGTATGTCTGTCTGTCTTTCTGTATGTCTGTAACACTCAAGATGGCATTTTACGCTATCTTCTCCAGGAAAACGAGAGAACCTATCAAGATCCAAGTAATTTTAATGTGTTCACTGGATTGGTGAGAGTGTCTTTAGCCATTAAAATATAACCTCACTACTTTGTAAATAAAATTACATACGTTCAAAAATGCAGTTTTGTGAGATTTTTGTCAAGTTTTCGTCCAATTTTTATCACATAATCATTCTATGAAATAACGAACAGCTGTTGGGATCAAGACTATTTTTTCTAGCTGTCACTGATATGTTTAGAAATGTTGTTTACAAATACCATTTTCGATCACGTTTAGAAAGCAAATCCCAACCTAGTGAGATTAAAAAAGTTTTTCTTACATAACAGATTTAATTAATCGTTGTTTTGTTTTGTTAAAAAAAATTATGTCTCGTTGGCGCCACTTTTTCGATATGCGACCGCCTAGTTCGCGTATGGGTTAAACCAGCACTGCATCTAGAACACATTTGCTAGCCTCTTTAATATCTCACATGATGTCACCTCTTTCCAGTTTTCCTTGGGTTGTAGTTCAACTAATACAAAATGTAATAATTTAGAATCATGCCTCCAACAACATTAAAAATTTTTTTTTTTTTTGCATGATTCATAATTTTTTTCTTGTCCATGTATACATAGAGCATCAGTAAAATCAAATGCTGGAGGAAATTCCCCCCTTCCTCCATTATATTGGAATTTTACTTTTATTTCTGATCAAAACTTTGCCACTTCTAATTAAGTAGCAAATTTGGCTTGGCTTACTTGGATAACTTGAATTAAGGAGAAACTGCTTTTGGTTGGTTGGCTTTTCTCTAAAGGCCATAATTAAAATAGGGCCTTTCCTAAAATAAGTCTTTTGACCAACACAACATTTTCCTTACAGTTGTTTAAGAAGTCCAACTCTGTCCATTCTTGGAAAAAGATGAGGAATGATATATTGTTCCATAGCTCTGAAAGAGTTAACCTTCATCAAGCAGTTGTTCGTATGTTACAAGCCAGGATACAGGCCTCTCTAAACTAAAACTTATATTCATTAATTGATACATAGACCATAAGTAAGTTTACCTCTGTTCTGCCTGCAGCTGTTGGGCCAGTTGTTGGTTTGTTGTCACCCATGTCTCCAACTCTGTCTGCATTGAGTCCACATCCTCTTGCAGGAAGTCTATCAGCTTGCCCAGAGGGTTGACAGCTCGTGTCAAGGCTTGGATGGCCGAGCGAAGTTTGTCCACCTCACGAGCCACAGTCTCTTGGCGAGCACTGCTCCAGCTCTGGCAAAGCAAAAACAGTTATAGCAAGATCAATTAGTCTTGACACCTATACTAAACTATGATGAATGCAGGACCGGGTAGAACGTCACCACAGTTACAAAATATTGCCACTGATCACATTTGATTATTGTATTTAGTACATTGCAGGTGCATAGTTGATACTGATTGTGAATGCACAGAGCTAGTGTCCATGTAATGATGGTGGCATTGGGAAAACAGCAGCAGGTTGGCTTGCAATAGAAGTATCTCTAACTAGTGGATGGAGCAAATGGAAAGGAGTTTCTAGTTTCTTACATTTGAAAATACATTAATGTTTTCGGTGCTAGAATATTTTTTTTGTAATTTTCCAAAAAATGCTAGACTTATTTCGTCTGAAAAGTGCTAGGCTTGCCACGGGGGCCAAGTCTAGTGTGTAAGAAAAAAGTTGGTAAAAATTAAATTTTTCGTCTCAAAAGTGCTAAGGAATGATATATCGGGCCTCGATCGTATGAGGAATTGAAAGAAACCATCGCTGTTTCAAAACAACAATCAAGTCAACCAATATGCCTATTTAAACAAACACAATCAAAATTCCTGCCAGCACGATATATTATCACTTAGCGCTTTTCAGATGAAACTCGAATAACAATATATAGACTTTTCGGGAAAAAGACGCACAACGATATATCCTTGCATAGCACTGAAAGGGTTAATACTTTTAAGCCGGACAATAAAGGAATCCTTGGCGCAAATTAACCAAATCACCATTTTACACCAATTTTTCTAATTTTCCTGGCGCCCAGACATATAAATTCTTGGGACAGGAGTATTCCATACCCCAAACGAAGAGCCTAGGGCCCACAACACAAGTGGAGCCTGGTGAATGATTCAACAATGTTGTAACCATGTAAAGCTCAACATAAGTTTATAGCTAACTTAAGTTTCCGGTACAGTAGAGTCCCGCAAACTCGGCACTGGATAACCCGGCAGTCTGGATAACTCGGCCATCACCTGGCTCAGGAAATTAGTGATTTTTTGAGTCCGAGTTAAACATGGACACAAGCCAGCTCAAGTATAATCATTTGCAACTCGTACTAACGATTTGTTATACTATATCTGATGACTTAATACTGACTTGTAATATAAATCTAAATGAAAAAGGCGGTTAAAAAGCTTAAAAATGTATTGCTCTTATTTTTAACTCTAGTTCCCGATAACCCGGCATTTCACAAACTCGGCACCCTTCCAGTCCACATTACGCCGAGTTTGCGGGACTCTACTGTACAAATCTTAACTTCTATCTTCTATAATATTATGACATCCCATCTATATGGACCAGCTGTAGCAATTTTTTTCTAAAAAAGAACGTAGTTGTGTGAGCCAGTCACAGAATGTACTAGTGTCTAAAATTCTATTTTAAACCTTATTTTTTGTTTCTGACCAGGTTGATGGGTCATAACAGTTGCTATAGCTCACCATAAGCCATTCCCTTAGTTTGACTTGGTAAACAAGTTTGCCTATTAGACAGAATTTAGTATTTTATATCAGCTCAATCTGTCGGTGGCTCACATCAACTACGACAGTTTTGATCAAAAATCTGTCTACAAATTTAACATGGGAATGGAACGTCTAATATAAAAATCTAATTATGTTTGTCTGTATGTGTTACTCAATATCGTAAAAACTACAAGACAGACTGGGCTTAAATTTTACAAAATTATAGCTACCAAACCAAGAATGGTAATAGGACTATTCACACATCAATAATGACTATGGGCTTTGCCCCTTTGACTTTAAAAGTTCTGAGGTGAGGATTTTAAAAGTAAATATTGATTGTCTCCATGGCTGCAATGAGAACACTCAAAATGTTTTCCGGTACATTTTGCTTTGACATTTCAATCTAAACAAGAACTGCCAAATTGTTTATTTCACAATATTTCAGTCAGCTGATCCAAAGAAATTAAATACAGGGTGATTGATATAGGTGTGCCAGCCGTTTTATTCGAAAACTATAAGAGATATCAAAAAAAGTTAAATGGAAAGTGCCTTGGATTTTTTATTTAAAAAATTGTAGTCAAGGTGAAAAAAATATTTTAGCCGCCATTTTTCTAATATGGCCGCCAACTTTGATTTTTCTTACGGGACACCCTGTATTTTATGATGTTTTCCGGTAGAAAATGTAATTTTAAGACAATTTTATTCTTGTAATTTTTTTCATAAACCTAACCGTTTCAAAGATAGTAATGTTTAAAGTTTTGAAATTTCGGCATGAGAAAGAGTTTCGATAAAGGTCTAAGCAAGCATGCCGGCTGTTTTATTAGAAAACTATACGAAATTTCACAACTTAAACCATTATTATCTTTGAAACTGTTAGGTTTATGAAAAAAATTACAAGAATAAAATCGTCTTAAAATTACATTTTCTACCGGAATACATCATAAAATACAGGGTGTTCTATAAGAAATATCAAAGTTGGCGGCCATATTGGAGAAATGGCGGCTAAAATATTTTTTTCAACTTGACTACAATTTTTTAAATAAAAAATCCAAGGCACTTTCCATTTAACTTTTTTTGAAATCTCTTATAGTTTTCGAATAAAACGGCTGGCACACTTATATCAATCACCCTGTATATTATAACTATGTGGTAGGTTTATTTAACCTAAAACTTGATCATAGATTATTTATTCTAATGTTTCTATAAAGGCCATAAAGTTTGACGAATTTTGTTGTTTCTAAAAGCGTTGGCAGATGTGTAACTATTTTATTCAACAAATGTAAAGATCAATATGTTTCTATTTCATGTCCTCTTCCCGGTACAACAGCTAGTACAGTAGAACTCCAACTATCCGAATCAATTCGGACCAGACCCCATTCGGATAATCGGAGTTTTACCGGAATTCCGGGAATTTTAAAGAAAAATCCCCATTTTCTGTAATAAATGAACTTTTAATTAATAATAAATGAAATCACAACATTTTTACAGTTAACAATGCATGTACGAGTGTTCTATACATGTTATTAAGATAATAGTGGTCCATCAAAGTCCAAAAATACACACTTGCTAAATTTACAGTACAGTACTATCTTACTTGTTGAACATTTACACCAACGTGAGCTGCTTGGCTGTTTTCAGACGTTTTTTTGCAGCCAGATTGCGCATCCGTTTAACCGTTAGTAGTTGTAGGTGATCACACTCAGGTTGCCGCACCATCCATCTTAAAGCAGTTTCAAGACAATTAAATGCTTCTGAAGCTGACGGTCCAATATCACTTTCAACTTTCAACCATGTTGACTTCTTCTTCCTCCTCAACAATGTCTTCGGAAACACTTTCAATGATCTCTTCATCACTTAGGATTTGATACCCAGGATCTGACGAATCACTCATGACCCACTCTCCAACCTCTTCAGTACTCACTTCTGAACATCCCGGAATTCGTATAAGAATGTTTCCTAGTTCTTCAAGTGACATATCATCTTCATCCATCTCATTTTCTCACCACAGAAAAAGAGTGCCTCGCCGTGTTGTACGCTCTTAGGAAGTATAGACCCATCGAAGGCTATCATATAGTAGTGATTACTGACCATCAGGCCCTCAAATGGCTACACTCAATGAAAACTCCCTCAGGTAGAATAGCTCGTTGGGTGCTAGAATTCCAACAGTACGATTTCCAAGTTGAATATCGTAAAGGAAGCATGAATAAAGTAGCGGATGCTTTGTCCAGGAACCTACCCGAACCCACTAGAAAAAGTGAAAATGAGGTACAAACTGCCACTGAAGTGTTAGACATATCAAACAACTGCAGAAAGGATTGGTATGACAACATGATGCAGAAAGTTTCCAGGTGGCCAGACAAATATTCCCGCTTTAAAATTGTAGGTGGTAGACTCTTTAAACATATTTGGAATAATGTAGGACCGGGAGAAAAACCCTCTACTTCCCCGTGGAAACTGTGTGTCACAAAGGAAAACCGAGCTGACGTCTTAAAGCAAAACCATGATGATCCTACAGCCGGACATTTAGGCATAGCAAAAACATTTGATAGAATCGGCCGCAATTATTATTGGCCAGGTATGTTCAGAGAAATTGCATGGTACGTTAGGAATTGCTCCTCGTGTCAAGAGTTTAAGTACCCTAAAAAAAAGATTTTAGGGGAAATGCAGTTTAGGAATTCACAACATCCCTGGTACTGTGTGAGTACAGATTTAGTGGGTCCCTTTCCTAGATCAACAAAAGGTAATAAATATCTTCTCATGTTTCAAGATACAATCACTAAGTGGGTGGAATGTGCGGCCATCAGGGCAGCAACTGCAAAATCCATAGCGCAGGTATTAAAAGAAAGGGTAATATTAAGGTTTGGTACTCCGCAAATTCTTTTGTCTGACAATGGCTCTCAGTACACCAGTAAGCTCTTGGAGCAAGTATGTACAGAATATGGTATTAGACATAATTTTACCGCTCCGTATACTCCCCAAGCAAATCCAGTAGAGAGAACAAATAAGGTAATAGAAACTATGGTAGCACAGTATTTATAGGGGACCCAAAAGAAATGGGACGTACTATTGCCCGAATTTATGTTCGCGTACAATACCTCCACCCATACCTTCGGCCGAGAATTAAGAACCCCCCAATTGCTGAATTTTCCTCCAGACTATGGTGACGAATCTAGACCCGAGGAGAAAGAAAATGAACTGAGAGATGTTTATTGGTTTGTAAAAAAACATATTGAGAAGTCTCACAGAAATCAGAGGCATTATTATAATTTACAAAGACAACCTTACAGCCCTAAAGTAGGGGATTCGGTTTATTGTAGGGAACGACATTTATCTGATGCAAGCAAAGAACATAAATGCAAAATTACAACCAAAATACTCAGGTCCTCATTCCATAAGTAAAGTGTAGTCACCAGTGGTAGTCGAAATAATAAAGGATGGAAGGCCGGCAAAAGTTCATGTAAAAGACCTTAAAATAAACCAGTAAAGGAATTCTAGTAAAAGTAATAAAGAGGTGTTAAAAAGGA